CTGGGGGATCAAATGACTAACTGAGATGAAAAAGCTCAGCTGACACAAGATGCTCACCAAGAACACACGCCCTCCCGGGGCTCCGAGCCTTCCCCTCGGCTTGGAGGGAGAAAGAAGCCTGGTGTCTTATCTTCTCTCTCTCTCCTCCACACTTGGCTGGAGCAGTATGGAGCTTGGGGGCTGGAGAATGCTGTTCACCAGCCCCTCCCCATCCAGGAGTCTCCTTGGAGCTCAGCACAGTCTCCTCCCCATTCAGTCTTACCCCTCCCTCCAGAGTCTCCCCTCAGATCACAGAATGAAGGCTGGGCGAATGGCAGGGTGGCCATCCAGCAGAAGGGCCAGAGTGACCACGTCTGGATAATTTTCGGATTTACTTTAGCCCTCCTACCGCCATCCAGTTCTGTTTCAGTAGGAGTCAAGACAGACAGGGGAGAGTGGGATTCCACTCCAGTTTATCAGTGGAAAATATACACCTGCATAAAGCGTTAGCATGTCACTGTGACGGCTCGTTTAATTCTCACAAGCACCCTTGTTAGTAGCTACGATTGTTGTCCCATTCTGCAGAGGAGCGCACTGAGGCTTAAAGAGGTTAAGTTCACCCAGCCACAGGAGTCTGGATTTTAATGTTTGCAGCCTGACTCCTCCCTGTCACCGCCACACTGGAACTTCTGCTGTGACTTCCCCTCTAACTGGATTGGGAGAAGGCAGGAAAAACCCCGACCCTCTCCCACAGAGCCTCAGCCAGTGATACTGCTTCCCGGATGAGAAGGGCGGCCCTGAAACCTGCAGCAGAGCCAGCTCCGCGGCCACAGTCCCCCCAGCCTCCCTGCCGCTCCCCACCGGCCCAGACCGACCGGGTGCTCTCCCCACCGGCCCAGACCCACCGGCCCAGACCGACCGGAGGTGCCTCCCCACCGGCCCAGACCCACCGGCCCTCGCCGGGAGGTGCTCTCCCCACCGGCCCAGACCCACCGGCCCTCGCCGGGAGGTGCTCTCCACAGGGAAGCTCAGGTGAGGGTCGCCCGCTCTCAGGGAAGCAGGGCGTGGGGTCTGGAGGCGACTGGTTTTCCTGCATGATCCACAGATGTCCCCAGGGATGAAGCGGAGGGGTGTGCGCGCGCGCGTGTGTGTGGGTGTGTGTGTGTCCCACACGCAAGGCCCAAATGGCGAGACAAAGCAGGAGCCCCTAAGGAAGGCCGGCACAAAAGGGCCAAGCAGTGAAGCTCCAGGAGAGAAGCGGAGATGGAGCCCACCTCGGGGACTGGTTCCCGGGAAGAAAGCGGTTGGGCTCTGGCCTCTCCCACCACGGAGACCCCTTAACAGAATATTTCTGTTCGTGGGTCCAAGCCAGCAGTGAGTTGTGTGCTATTTATTCACGGTTCGAATGTTACACTTCCCTTTCTTCCTCTTCAGACTCAGGATCTTTCCCCAAACCCTCCCGGCCCCGGGGCCTGTGACCCTGGGGACAGAGGCTGCCGTTAGGCTGCCTCCTCCAGCCGTCCCTTCTCCCCACCAGGCACTTGCCAGCCCTCATGTCGGCCACCTCGGGGCCCAGCCTGGCGCCCACCGGGGACGTGGGCGAGATCTACAACTGGACGGAGCTACTGCACTTCTTCAACCACACCCTGCCCGAGTGCCACGTGGAGCTCAACGAGAACACGAAGCGCGTCGCCCTCTTCGTGGTCTACCTGGCCATCTTCGTGGTCGGGCTGGTGGAGAATCTCCTGGTGATCTGCGCCAACTGGCGGGGCTCGGCCGGCGCGGGGCTGCTGCGTCTCTACGTCCTCAACATGGCCATCGCCGACCTGGGCATCATCCTGTCCCTGCCCGTGTGGATGCTGGAGGTCACGCTGGACTACACCTGGCTCTGGGGCAGCTTCTCCTGCCGCTTCACCCACTATTTCTACTACGCCAACATGTACAGCAGCGTCTTCTTCCTGGCGTGCCTCAGCGTGGACCGCTACCTCACGCTCAGCCGCGCCTCCGCCTCCTGGCAGCGCCGGCAGCACCGCGCGCGCCGCGCCGTGTGCGCCGGCGTCTGGGTCCTCTCGGCCCTCATCCCGCTGCCCGAGGTGGCCCACATCCGGCTGGTGGACAGCTTTGAGCCCATGTGCCTCTTCATGGCGCCGTTTGAAACGTACAGCACGTGGGCCGTGGCGGTGGCCCTGTCCACCACCGTCCTGGGCTTCCTGCTGCCGCTGCCGCTCATCGCCGTCTTCAACGTGCTGACGGCGCGCCGGCTGCGGCGGGCGGGGCGGCCCGCGGGCCGGCGCCACTGCGCGCTGCTGGCCGCCTACGTGGCCGTCTTCGTGGTCTGCTGGCTGCCCTACCACCTGGCCCTGCTGCTGCTCACACTGCACGGCGCGCACATCTCCCTGCACTGCTACCTGGCCCGCCTGCTCTACTTCTTCTACGACGTCATCGACTGCTTCTCCATGCTCCACTGTGTGGTCAACCCCATCCTTTATAACTTCCTCAGCCCCAGCTTCCGCGGCCGGCTGCTCGACGCCGTGGTCCACTATCTCCCCAGGGCCCAGGCCAGGGAGGGCAGACGGGCCTCCTCCTCCCCCTCCTCCTCCTCCACGCAGCATTCCATCATCATCACCAAGGAGGGCCGCCCGCCGCTGCAGCCCGCCCCCACCACCACCCCAGCCTGAACTTCCAGGCAGCACCTACCCCACCCGCCTCCGCCCCTCAGTCTCTTGTAGCCAGCTGAGGGGGAGTCCGGCGTCCTCCAGCAGTGAAGTAGAGAGCTGGAAGTAGGGGAGAGATCTGGGGAGGGGGTGGGGGGTGGGAGAGGGTCAGAGCACTCATGGCCAATATTGAGTTTGTCTTCAAATATTGAGGTGGGGATGGGGAGGGAGGCAGGCAGAGGAAGACAGCAGACCCTTGGCGTTGTACTATTTGAAACCATCCTTGTGCCGAAGGGAGAGACGCAGGGGAAAAGGTGAAATAAAGAGTAGAGACACAACTCTGAATCTCTGAACAAGTCTGCACTGCAAGCTGGGATTGGGAATGGAGCTGAGGCCAAAGAGATGCTCAGCAGAAACCACCCTGGCCGGAAAGAGTGAGCTCCACAGGAACCGCACACAACCTTCCTTTTGTGCTTGCGCTTGCTGACCTCCCAGCACATCATGCAGCGGCAGGGACAAGAGGCCAGAGGCCAAGGAGCCAGGAGGCCTCCGCAGGCTGTTTCCCAGCAGTGCATCCTCAATGCGATGATAAATGGAGTGGGTGGGGACCGCAGGGGCGGGTGAGGCCGAGGTCTGAGGCAGGCACCCCGCAGCTGGGCCGCTGGGCGGACTCTCCTCCCCCACCATTCAGGAAAGGGCTTGCTGACAGGCTCCTCCTGGTCCACCCTGGTCCCCTCCCCCCGCAAGCAGAGGAGCTGTCCCGAAGGCCATGCCCCTCTGCCCCCAGCTCTGGGTCTAGCACGTTTCCAGACTTCTGCCCCCAGTCCCTCCCGTTCTCTCTGGATCCCAGGAAAGTATCAAGGGACAACCCTTCTGGGGGCAGACTTGGGATGGGCAGCAGCAGGCGCTCACGGGGGGCTCTGACCCTCAGTCCTGCCCCTGCAGGGGGTGGGAAGCGGAAATCCTCCGGTTCTGTCAGAGGGCAGAGGCCTGGAGTCTCCTAAGCCAGTTTTCACCCTCAGCCTTCTTTCTTCCTGGCCAAGTCTCCTCATAACCTTCCTGTCCAGAAACTTGTATTCACACTTGTCCTATAGACAGGATCGGAAGTCCTCTTGCGAACGTGGAGGTCTTCTGGAAAGGGCTCTGTATACCAGTTTGGGGAACCAGGACCTTGTCCACGAAGCGCTCTGACTGAAGTAAAGCCTCAGAGAAGGCCCCAGCCCACCAGTCCCAAGCCGCCTGCCTCTGCACCCTGCCCGTGGAGAATTAAGGGGCTCGTGGACACAATCACTGAGACCTTCTGTCCTGCTCAAGTGCTCAGTTATGTCTGGAATGTTTAATTTGGAATGGCTAGTCACTGACTGCAGGGCCTCCCCTCTGTTCTTGGAAATCTGAGACGCATTAAGCAGATTCACCAGATGCATTAAACATGTGCTCCAGCGCTGTAGGAACCCATTTGTCAGGAGCACCAAGGGAAGTCCATTTAACTCCCTCTGCTCACTGGACCCAAACCTGAAAAAAGGGCTTTTTATTTAAAGGGTCCCATGCTAAAAACTGCTGCTTGGTGGCACAGGGCTGAAGCCTTTTTCAACTAGGGGAGTCCAGGAACCTAACAATGCAAAGAATGTATTATAAAGACTTTCCTCTCGAGCCCACATAAAAACCCAGCCCAGATCCAAAGCCTTTATTACTGCCGTCCCCAAATCAGGCTCCAGAAGTTCCCTCAAGGAAACCCAGATCTACATCTCTGTTACATTCTAGGTTACCTGAGGCCACTTTCTCAACATCTTTTCTCACAGATTCCACTTCGGCAACCAGTGATCACTCTGATAACTCAGGTCCTTCCTCAGGCCCCGAGAAGCAAGCACGGGGCTGATGGCAGCAAGGCCCCTGGCTCTGTGTGCTGAGGGCTGATGGGGGCCGGGTCCCACCAATGTGCCCTGAGACCAAGGGGACCGCGTCACGTCCTAACTCTAGAGGCCTGTCTCCTCTCTGGAGAGGGACGCTGGTTACCAATCTCATGAAATTAGGCCAAACCTCTGCCCCCTCTCTGAATCTGCCTCCCTCCATTCCGACACTCCACGTCATGGTGAGTGGCACCAGCGAGACAATTTGTGGCCAACCCTCTGGGCCAACAGAACAGGCCCCTTAGATGGTCCCTCTGAAAAGGCTGGGCCAGCGAGTGAAGTTTCCACTAAAAACAGATCAAGTCAGCCCCGGGGAATTCCAGCTACAGGAAAGGAAATGTGCTACCTGAAAGAACTCTGGCATCCGCTGAGCAGGACATTGCTACTGAGAGGATGATGGCCCCGATACTCTGAACTGTGAGGGATGAGCAGACCACAGTAAATAGGAAAAGAACTACCATTTCAAATTTCCTTTTTTTTTTATTCTAAATAAAAACCACACTTTGTGCTGAACAATGGAATATAAAAGAATCAGATGTACAACGATTTTAGACATCTACTATTTGAGAAAAGAAGTTTACAAAATATACAAAACTTTACAGCAATAGATAGTAAACACTTAAATATTAGGAGGTCAGTACTTATTAATTTAATGGAAGGAGTTAAATGTCAACAACTCTTCTCAGTTTCATAAGAGATGTAGCTAGTAGAGGTGGGAGGGGAGGGTGGATTGGACAGGGGAAAGGTGTTAAAGAAACATCCAAAGTAGAAGTTGCATTTTCATTGGGATATTAAGTTTACCATGAGTAAGCACATTGAAACAAATGCTGTGTGCCCTGCTTCCTGATTTGGTCAGTGCAGGATTTAGGGAAAAGGACACACGAGGATTCCCAGATGGGCAGATTTCTGCACACAGCCCACTCCCATGCCAACAAAATCATGTCCGTATGTAAAGAAGTGTGAATCCACTTCCAAAGTGGGATAGTCTGGGGGCCGGGGTGGGGGGCGGTGATAGGGCACAGCGGGTGGTCAGAAGAGGAATATTCACCAGCAGCAAAACCTGCCTGGGAGAAGGTCGTTAAACTCAGAGGTTTCCTAGAGACACAAGGGTGCCCATAGGGCAGAAGAATGTCAAAAAGAATTTTTACCTATTCCCTGACCCCCATCCCACCTCCTTTCTTCCCAACTAGCCATGAACCAGAGACTCCATGGAGTCTGAAACTTGAGGACCAAACACCAGGCACGGCAGAGCTTCCTGACGGGTCCCGCAGCATCAGTGAGTCACGGCCGGGCAGAGGAGCGCCCTGACGCTGACCCCTTTCTCTGGCTGCGGCAGCTGTTTACAGTGGGCCATTAGGATAACGGGGGCTTCCCTGGCGGCTCAGATGGTAAAGAATCTGCCTGCAATGCAGGAGACCTGGGTTGGATCCCTGGGTTGGGAAGATCCCCTTGAGATGGGAATGGCCACCCAAACCAGTATCCTTGCCTGGAGAATTTCATGGACAGAGGAGCCTGGTGGGCTACAGTCCATGGGGTCGCAAAGAGTCAGAACGACTGAGCTACTAACACAAGAACGTCAGAGTATCACCCTTTCCCTTAGGAAAAAGGGTGAGAATGGCCTTGTGTTTGCTTTAATGCTACAGTTGCCACAAAATTCTTAATAGTTTTTAAGCAAAGGGCTCTATAAATTATGTAACCAGTCCTGAGTACTGAACAAGAAAAAGAGGTGGGGGATGAAAAAGAAAAGACATTCAAGGATCAAACAGAACGAACCTTGGAACAATACAGCAGAAGACAGTGCTAAACTGGGCTCCAGGGCAGAGGGCAACACAACCCCATGGACAGTTGAAAATATTTTAAATTCAGAATAAAATTAATACCTTCCACCAGGTATCCTAGAGTGCCCTCTGCCACAATATAGTGTTTCAAGTAAAACAGTGCGGAAAAGAGTGGCTGGTGGCAGAGGAAGCAAACGTGACTCCGAACAGAGAAAGGGCTGAGACGTGAATAAGGGGGACGCGCGGGGGACAGTGTTTGGTCAATGAGCCTCATGAGCTACTGACCCTGCTACATGTCTGACCGCAGCCAACCATGTCACCCTGGTCAACCACTTGGCCTCAGGAGGATCAGGGGGCGCAGTCTTTCATTTAGTGTTCTAGGGGTAAAGTTTCAAGGATTTGCTTTTGGTTTACTGGCAAAAAGGGAAAACTTCACAGTTTCAGGTTAAGTACACAGACTACCCAGCATCAGTGATAACCCTCTGTTAAGGAAAAGGGTTTCTCCAGCACGCTGATCCATTCCCAGCTACCCAGCTGGCTTCCAGGCAGTGGGCCCACTCTCAAACCTGGCCATTCAAAACTCGGTCCTCACCCACAATCTGGGAGAAACCACTCAGGCTTGAAAAGCTGAGAAGATCGTTGACTGTGGTCTTTTACACACTTCCCTTCTTAAAGGACTGACAGGAAGAAAGGAAGCAGTCAGTCAGGGATGAAAAGTCTCAGCACTGCTTTCTAACGAGAATGTCCCAAGGGAACATTTAACTCATTGGATTCTGACAGTGAAAGCTGGCCACTGGGCAAGTCCCTTCAAGTAATGGTCACCTCACTGGAGAGCTATGCACACAAAACTCCGAGGCTATATCAATTAGGGTTGGGGGGAGATCCGGGGGCAAGTCCAAAAGGGACAGGGCTTTGGTTCACTTTCATGTGTTACTATAACTTCCCAACTTCAGGAAGAATGAGAAAATATGCAAACAGGGCCTTCATGTGATCTTATCCCCTCAATCCAGTCCCCAACTGACTCAACCACAGGATGGAAAGGGGATAAAAGGTCCAGGGAGTCAACAAGACTCAACTTTCTAGAATTTACATCCATTTCCTAAAGGGCTCCCTGGGTTTATTCTGCAAGAGACTTATCTGGAGAGAAAAGCATTTGCTTGTTTAAAGGCTTGACCTGTTCTCCCCGAGTTCAAGCCCCTGTTCCCCAAATATCTGGCCAGGACTGTCCCCTGGAATATGGCTACTTGCTGGGGAGAAGCTCATTTTCCTGAAGTCTCTTAGCCAACAGAGATGCTGGGTAATATGTATACAAAAACAAAATAAATAAATATTAATGTTCAAAAAGGCTTTGTGAGTTAATTAAAACTACTTGCTTGTAAAACAGCCCGGGGTGCTGCTGAGTCCCACGAGGGCCAGGGGCAGGGCCGAGGCCAGGGACCCCCAGAGCTCGCCTGAGCAGGTGAGGTAGTGTGGGCTTCGGAGGTGCCACCTTGTGAGATGCGAGATCTGAGGGCTCTCTCCTTCAAGCCTTCTTTGGGCAAGATCCCCTCAAAAGGCAACTAAGAACAGTCAACCAGCAACCCCGACCGGGAGATCCATTCCCCAGTCACCCGGAGAGGGCCTGAACCAGCTGTCGGCCAAGAGCGCCCTCTGGTGGCCATGCAATGGCAGACCAGGATAAATGCAGCAGGTCAAAGCCGCCAAAGCTGCCAAAACTCTGGCCCAGTTAGCAGAGTAAACAGCGGGTTCCCTGGCTGGGGCAGACAGAAAGTACATCCAGCTACTCGGGTCCCTTTAATCCTGCAGGGCTCACAGTCCACCCCTCCACCTCACGGGGTCTTCCCGTCTACACTACAGGCCAAACACTTCTCGGTGGGAGACTGGATGCAAATTAAGGCAAGGCTGCTGCTTCAGAGACATCCCCATCCCTCCACCAGTAAACTCAGGGTCGAGGGAGGCAGCCAGACAAGTGAAGACTACATCAAAGTAGCTCCCTGTCTTTTTTGCCCACAGGGAAAGCCTGACATCCTGGGCCACCACTCCATAAGATCACATTTCTTTGGAATTGAGGGGAAAAGAGAAATCTCCCTTCCTGTCCGTCCCAGGCTGCTGCTTTCAGCAGCACTGCAGGACACCTCTTAGCGGCTGGCAAGGATTCATCCCAAAGCTTTCAGACCTAAACAGAAAGCTTTGTCCCCGGTTTGGATCTAGCTGCCAAGAGATTTTACCATCCAATCAGCAGATTCGAGCCCTGGAACAAGCAGGCCCCTCATCCCTGATGGTGTGCCCCGCTGAGGGCTGGGACCAGCACCCAAGGGGGAGCTGCCTTGTCTTTTCTGAATGACCACATTCCCAAAATCTCTCTCCTAGCTGGCTGTCCCGGTTGGAGGTCCGGCACTAATACCCACAGTGAAAACCTCTCTCCACCTCCTGTTCAGTGAGGCTGTTGGTTGGATTCTTAGCAGCATAAAACCTATCAGTAAACTAAAACTCAAGAGGCTGGGGAAGGGAATCTAGCTGACACCAACTGCCTGATGAGATCCCAAAACCAGCCTCCAAAGAATCAAAGACACAGCCCTCCACGGACAAGAACAGGTAAGGAGGTAAGCACGACAGGGCCGCTGCTTCTCAGAAACAGTGTTCATGTGCTATATATTCTTTTGTCTTCTTTAAACACAGGACAGAACAGAATTCCTAGCAAGGCAAAACCGTAACTTCAGGTGGGGCAGGACCAACAGCCACTAGGAAACCAATGTCCTGGCTGCCGCCTGGGAGCTCCCCCGGCTCTGCAGGGGCCCAGTCAGCTGTCCGGGTTCTTGTCCGCTTCTTTGGAATGGATGATGTACATGAAGGTCTGCTCGATGGTGAAGTCGGGGGGGAGGCTGCCTTTGTGCACGCCGACGTGCTTGCTCATGAGGTTGAGTGTGGAGCTGTAGTGGCCGCAGACCGTGCAGCGGTACATGAGCGCCCCCGCGTGCGTCTTCAGGTGGCACTTGATGGTCGAGCGGCCGCGGAAGAACTTGTGGCATACCTTGCACTGGTATGTGCCCCGCTGAGGGCTGGGACCAGCACCCAAGGGGGAGCTGCCTTGTCTTTTCTGAATGACCACATTCCCAAAATCTCTCTCCTAGCTGGCTGTCCCGGTTGGAGGTCCGGCACTAATACCCACAGTGAAAACCTCTCTCCACCTCCTGTTCAGTGAGGCTGTTGGTTGGATTCTTAGCAGCATAAAACCTATCAGTAAACTAAAACTCAAGAGGCTGGGGAAGGGAATCTAGCTGACACCAACTGCCTGATGAGATCCCAAAACCAGCCTCCAAAGAATCAAAGACACAGCCCTCCACGGACAAGAACAGGTAAGGAGGTAAGCACGACAGGGCCGCTGCTTCTCAGAAACAGTGTTCATGTGCTATATATTCTTTTGTCTTCTTTAAACACAGGACAGAACAGAATTCCTAGCAAGGCAAAATCGTAACTTCAGGTGGGGCAGGACCAACAGCCACTAGGAAACCAATGTCCTGGCTGCCGCCTGGGAGCTCCCCCGGCTCTGCAGGGGCCCAGTCAGCTGTCCGGGTTCTTGTCCGCTTCTTTGGAATGGATGATGTACATGAAGGTCTGCTCGATGGTGAAGTCGGGGGGGAGGCTGCCTTTGTGCACGCCGACGTGCTTGCTCATGAGGTTGAGCGTGGAGCTGTAGTGGCCGCAGACCGTGCAGCGGTACATGAGCGCCCCCGCGTGCGTCTTCAGGTGGCACTTGATGGTCGAGCGGCCGCGGAAGAACTTGTGGCATACCTTGCACTGGTATGGCTTCTCGCCCGTGTGGATCCGCCGATGGTAGTTGAACTCACTCGTGTGAGCAAATCTTTTGCCGCACACCTTGCAGCTATACTTGCTGTTCCCAGGCTGACCCTGCAGTGCCAGTTCCTCAGTCAGGAACTCCTCGGCCGGCAGCTTCCGCTTCTGGAGAGCTGGGTTCTGGAGCCCAAAGCCAGGCCGTGCGTCAAGGCCACTGTTGCACTTGTGCTGGCTGACGTGGTAGCGATAGGCAGCCTCCGACTTGAAGCTCTGGCTGCACAAGGGGCAGTGGAAGAGGGCATCTTCCAGGCTTTGGTGCACAGCCATGTGCTTCTCCAGGAGATGCCAGTCCACAAAGCTGTTTGCACACACGGAGCAAGAGAAGACAGAGATGCCTAGGTGGGCAAGTGTGTGCCACATGAGGCTGCAGAGGTTGAGGTGGCGCTGGTCACAGACACTGCAGGCCTGGCCCTTCAGGTTCAGATGGTCAAGGATATGGCCCCGGACCACGTGGAAATCTTTGGCCAATGCCTTCCCACAGGCAGCACATTTCAGCTCTGCAGAGACCGCCCCTGCAAAGAGACCCAGCTTCCCAGGCAACGGGTCGTTGGGGTGGACGATGGTGTTGTTCTCAAATACTCCATCCCGTCGGTGGAGGGTCAGTTGCCACTGGGTAAAGAACTTAGTTTCACACATGTCGCAGGAGAAGAGGAAAATCCCGATGTGGGAGAGAACATGGGTGACCCGGGAGTTCCGGTCCTGGAAATGGGTCTCACAGACCTTGCAGTTGCCAGTCAGCAGGTCCACGTGGTCGCGAGCATGTTGTCGGATCAGTTGAATGTTGGGCTCTAGAACCTTCTTGCATACCTGGCAGGGCATGGCCTTATTCTCTCGGTTTTCACTCTCTCCAAAAGTTAGCTCATCCTCACTGTCGTCACTCAACTCAATCACCTCCTCAGCTGTGCCAATCTCCTCTGTGGGGTCTTCAAACTGCAGGTCGTCATCCCCCAGGTCCTCCAGTTGGAGCTCATCCATCTGCCCAAAGCTTGGGTCTTTGGAATGGTCGCTGTTGCTCAGACAGGAGTTGGTCCCAGTGGTAATGTCTACTGCACTGTCAGGGGTGAAGAAGCTGTTCTTACCAAAGTCTCCATTGCTCTGAACTTTGTATGGCTGGCAGGAACTGGTGCTGGTTTGGATGCCCATGCTGACAGTGCCCAGGACTGGCTGGGCCACCACGCTGGGGACGGATGTGAACGGAGCAGGGGCATCGTGGTCTTCTGACTTTGGTGGCAGGGGCTGCAGGCTGTGGTTAGTGTCACTGGTAACATTTCTCTCCTCCTCTTTATAGCTCCCTCCAGCATCACTAGGTAACACATAGTTTCTATCAGGACCAAAGTGCTCTCCGCCACCCCGGAGTTCTCCAAGGGGATGGGGGTGTTCTGCTGAGCTACAACTCGGGGTACCAGAGTGGTTCTCGCTGGTGCTGGTCAGGGGCTTGGCCACGGCAGTGCTCTCCAGGTCAGGAAAGGTGGAGTGACAGGCCTGGAGGAGATCCTCCATACCCAGACGCTCTGCAACCTCGTAGATGACCCCGACGTTGATCAGGTCCGTGAAGAGTTCCGACGTGTAGACAAAGCTCAGGATCTTCTCGAAGTTGGCAGGGGTGATGAAGTCCACCACGTAGGTCCTGGCAGCATCAAGCCCAGTGTTGAGGAAGAGGTTCTGGAAGTAGCCAGCCGCGCAGGCCAGCACAGCTTTGTGGGCCGGGAAGGAACGGCTCCCCACCACGATGGTGACATCGCACATGGTCTCCGAGAGCCGGCACTTGTTGAGTTCTTTCAGCAGGTTGTTGGGGTGGTTGGTGCTTTGCAGTTTGATCCTCATGCCCATCTTAGCAGCTCCTGTGAAGTTGCCTCTTTATCAGCACGGTTAATCTGCGGATAGCAAAAGGAAAAGGTGGATGGCCAAACACATCCTTGTAGGTGAAGAGCTCTGCGGGACAAAATGCCACCGTCTGCATGTTTTCAAGCCCCAGGGAGAGAGCAGGTGTGAATGGACATACACTTGCTCCATTCTGCTGGACGGGACAATGACGGCACAAGTGATGGGACAGTGACCTTTCTCCCTGCACATCCCCCAAGACAGACTGATCATGAAAAAAATCCAAAAATATTGGAAAAAACCTGATGAACTGGCCTGTAAGAGAAGCTGGAGGCCTGACTGGACAGAAGCTAGTGCTTTAAAGCCAAGTCCAAAGCATCCTCTTGATACCTTCTTATATTTCATTACCAGAGCAACTGGTTCAAACTTTTCTCATATTAATTTCCTAATTTCTTCCTGAATACAAGCTTTCCTATCTCACTGAGTATATTCTCTTCCCTTACTAGGCCAAATGCCATACACATACTTGAACACAATGATCAAGCTCCATTAGCTACTGGGGGAAAGATAAGGATGCTTTATCCTTTCCTTTCCTTTCACTGCTGTGTTCTTTCAAGCCCTAAAATAAATCACTTGCTTATTCTTGAGTTCCCATCTTTCCCTATCCAAGCTACCTGCCTCCTCGCCCAGGGCCATTCAGATACTGCTCTATCACATTCTCTGTAGCTTGTGGATGAAGCCAGAGAAGTAAAGTAAAGAACACAACTACGGTATTTAAAATTACCTAAATAGTCTTTAGGTCTTTTTCCCCCCACCCTTTTCAGGAGCTATGCTTATGTTGACCAGAACTGAGAGATTTACCTGATGCCTGGGGATAGGGTTTGGAATAAGAAGCTATCCAATTACACAGGTAACTCCTAAAGTACCATTTCTTCCCCCTTTTTGAGTCCTGCAGGCCAGAAAAAAGCCCAACTCGTTGCCCTCTCCTTCTGCTCACGACTCGCCCTGCGCAGCACAGCCTCCTTGCTCCACCTCACCACACTGGACTAACTCCCAACTTTTTCTGGGGCCCAGGAAGCCTCTGAGCTTTGTTGGGTACCAGCGAAGGCTCTCCGCGGCCCTGGTGGCCACACATGAACGGTCAGCAGGTCGGGGCACCGGGAAGCCCGAGCGGCGGTGCGAGGGAACGGATTCGGAACTTCTGAGAAGGGACCCCAGCAACCGCGCGGCGCCACGGTCTCCCTCCTGGAGGGTCGAATTCGGGAGGAAGGGCGTTGGATCCGGCTGGGGCACTCCATCTGGGGGGCATCGAGCACCTCGATCCCTCCCCCCAAACAGCCGGGAATTCCTCAGGGCGACCTCGGGCGGGGGCGAGGGGGTGGCGGCGGGGCGCCAGGCCGGCCGGGGGTCGAAGGGATCGGCGGCGGGGCCGGCGGGGGTCGGTGCGCGGCGGGGGAGGATGGATCTGGCCGAGAGCAGCGGGCGGGAGGGAGCCCGGTGAGAGCGAGAGAAAGGCCGGGCCGAGGATCGGGCCTCGGCCAGGGCAGTCCTCGGCCTTGCCGCGCTTACCCGGCTCCGCGGGGCCCGAGCACCATCGCCGCCGCCGCCTCACACAAAGGCCCCGGCCCGCCGTGCCCGGCCCGACGAGGAGGCGGCGCCGCCGGCCGCGGCCAGACTCTCCATCCGCCGCGCCGCTCGCC